AATTCTGCCTCCCTCTCCCCTTGACTTACCTTGAAAGCCCTTGCATGACAAAAGCTCTCGGTGGCAGTAAAAATGGCTGTGTGTCATTGGGTGGTAGCATTCCGATAATTCTTTGAGCAGCCACAAAAAGTAAAGATCAGACTGCAGTTTTATTACCAGAAAAATGTTCATTGGATAACACAAAATATTTGAAAGCTGTTTTGTTGGTTTGAAATGGAAAGCACATTTGTCATTCCATCTGCATGGCCAGAATTGTAAATATAGCACAAGTGTTGGAAACTCCTCATCAAAATGTAAACTCTGGACTCAAAATGTCCAGTGTATTTCTGTTTGTACCTGATCTTTTACCCAATGCTAAACAATACTAATTTCTCCTGGGCATTGATAATAGCTTGGCCTAAATTATACTTTATTTGCAGGTCTGTGAGTGTCTTTAATGAGGCTTTTTTTTAAACTGTGGCTTCTGCAATAGTTTGAGTCTTATTTTCTCCTTTATTCTAGCAGAAGCATTTTGCCTTACTTAAGAGAGGGAAAAAAAGTAAAGGTGCTTTATTGATAATGAACAGAAAATTGCGTAACAGTCTTTTTTTCATGTACTGCTAGCACTCCTGACTTTGTCAATATTTTCCTGATGCAAGTTTTTTTCCCTAAAAATCTGAACTAGCCAGGCATAACTTTGAAGGAACTACCATAAAAATTTGGTTAGTAAACCAGTCTTTAGAACTATTCTATTTTGGAAGTTGTATTTATGTATTTATGTATTGTGAGCTATTAGTCAGTACATTGTAATCCTTAAGCTTCAGTACAGCAGCAAGTTTCTCTATTTATAATTTGCAGTATAATAGATAATCTTTATTTACATTTTAGGCTGTTACAGAATGACCTTACATTGAGGTTTGTGGAAGAAACAAGATTTAAGCATCAGTTCTTCAATGTGCATCCTTCTATTCAAATTTGACCCACGACCAGTTTCAAAAAATGCATACAGGTAAGATGGTTGTAGTTAAAACAGACTTGCTTCTGTAATATTTTACACAATTCCTCTTTGAAGACACTGTTTGAATTACAAACTCAAATCAGTATTATGTGTTTAATTGTGCTTTTGTAATGTTCATAACTTAATGCCTTTCCCCATTGGAGGAGGAACTGTAGCCTTTTTGGAACCCTTTGGTTTTAGACTATGTCAGAAGTCTTGGGCTTTGTAATCATGGACCTTTTGTTGGTGATCTGTCATGTGCTGTGTAAGTCCTTTAAATACTGTACTCCAGTGTTTGGAAGTCCTGCCTTCTACTTTATTATTTAAACTAAGGGGAATCCTGTTGTTGGGCATCACAGTTGTAGCTGTCCCCTGCTTTCAGTGTGGTAGATACATCTAGGGCTTCCAGTTTGTTACCAAGGAACTTCTAGTAAGTATCCTAGCCTTTTCCCTCCCCAAAATCTACTTGCAATTAAAACTGTAGGCAATAAACTAAGTAATGTGTATGAAATGTTTAGCCAAAAACTGAAGAAAAAATAAGCTTGCAGGCTTCTAGGTAAGTTTAATAAGAATTTCTCGATGTCATACGGTGAGTGTCCAATGTATTAAACATCCTGAAATAATTTTCTCTCATTCTAGCTTGTAGTTTTTAAATTTCATATCCAACATCAGTATATTTGAGTACACTGAGTATGTAATAAAAAGACAGCACTTCAGACTATGAAGGTTTATTGCTTTCTGTATTTATATATACTGTATAGTATACTATATATTATTTTGTAGCATACGAGTATTGGTATTCATCCAGAAACCATCGCAGTCAGTCTGCTCAGTAAATTGTGCCTTTCACTGACTTGTTTTCCTGTCCTTTTGTATTAAGAAGCAGATGCCATTCTATAGAAAGAGAGGAGATGAGAACCAAAACCTCAACTGTCCACAGAGTGCATTCCTTTCTGCCTCTGGAGCCTGCCTAAAAAGGGATTTTGTTTATGATGTGACTGGTGCTGAATTAATATATCCATTTATTTGGTCTGACTTTCTTTGTGTTGATAGTTAGCGAAAGACAGATTCATCAGTTTGATGCCTCTTGGGAAATCCTTTGGATGTAAACTGCAGTTGTTTGCCAAGTGAACTTTCTGCCATGATCAATATTTAAAAGCAGAACTTAGAGTAGTTTGCTTGCTATAAAAAATTGCATCAAGATTGAAGTTATTTATTTATATCAGAAAACAACTTGCTGTCATTGTTAGAATAAGACAACACTTTTGAGATGTTTGGCCCAAATTCAGGACCATCTAATTGTATTTAACTTTCTCTGTATCTTTTGCTAAGCAATGCCTTGCTCTATACCTGCAATAAATCACTCTGAGCTATCTGGTTGGGTGATAAATGCTAAGCCACGGTGTTCTTGGTGTCAGATTTTAGTATCATATACATAATTTTAATCCTTTTTTTGTTTCCTTAGATCACCATAACTGAATCTCTTGCTTGTCTTTATTCAGGAGAATGTTGAAGTTCTTTCTTTTTTAATATTTCTTAATGTTTTTTTCATCTTTGCCTCAGCTTTGTGAAGGACTGAGTCACAGGTCTCAGTATCAGCTGGGAGTGGTGCCCAGCCCTCCTAATTCCAAGCAGTATTATAGCCATTGTACAAAGTCAAACATCTCTCTACAAGTCCTTGCTAAGGGTAATTTTTCTCTACAGTTAAAGCATCACTGTGCTGTAGCTTTGTTTATTTCATGGTGACATCTTGGTACAGTTTTTCGAACCAAAGGGGAATTCCTGTAATCCTGACACTAATTTCTCTGTCCATCATGAAGCAGGCAATTAAACCTTCCTTAATGTTCTCTGCTTTGCATCTCTAACTGAAAGAAAGTGTCAGTAATAGGCATTAAAAGTTGAAAAGACAAACAGCTTGTCATTGACTGAGTTTACTGGCTAGAAGAAAATGGCCAAGCTAAAACATGTTCTCTGTAACACTTGGGAGACTTTTCCATCCAGGTAGACCCTGGCTTCTAGACCAATATATTGGTCAATTTTTTTGAGCACCTAATTAAGCAAAAAGCTCACCCTTGTGACACACTAATAAATCCATCTGCCTGTACCTTTGCAGCTTGTTCTGTTTTCTCTCTTGAGGCCTATTTGTGGTAAAGTTTAGTGCAGTGTAACAAGCACTTTACTGTAGTCCATTATTATTGTCAGAGGTAATGTGCTGCCTTTACATCTTTCTGAATAGTACTATGTGTATCTTACAAATAAATAAATGTTTCAAGCTTCAAAGCTATGATCACAGGCCCTTTTCTGGAGCTGAATTGCATTGTAGGAAATTGCTTTAATGGAATGATTTCTCATGTTTTCATTTCTCTCGATATTAAAATAAATCTTAATACAGTTGAATTGTTTCAGCCATAAAATAGCTGAATAGGCTTTTTGCAATTTATTAGAAGATGAGGGTCACTTAATATTGCTCCTTTTCACTATAATTATGTTTCATAAAAGACAAAATAAAGATGTTTTTATTATTATGCTCTTGTATACTACCCTTGTGCTAAATTTAGGGGTCTGCATTAAACTTGAGATGGGGAATATTCAATCACACAAGAAAGACTTTGCTGATTTTTAGTATTTAAATACTACAAACAAACTGTAGTTTCATGTCAGGAATTATTGAAGGCAAGTATCATTGAAGCTTCAGGAGATGAGAAGTGCACTTCAGGCAAACTATTTTTTTAACAGTGGAGATATTAATTTAAATTAAAATCTGTGAAAGGAGGCTGCATCCTGTTAACGGAGCATGTTAAAGTAAGATGACAGAAATTTGGTAAACCAGCAGAAAGCCTATAGCTCAAGGACTAGAATCAGCTTGAAGAAGAGAAATTATGTAAGTTTGAAAGGAGCAATATTATATTTGCATTGGAAAGATAAAAATGTCCATACAGTTTGCTTTCCAACAGATGTTATCTTTGTTGGACAAAATACTAAGCACTTACCTTACAGAAAGGATGCCATTGAAGTGTCAGCTTTTTCTAGTTTCTCTATGCTTGATTATGATTATTTTTCTGTAGTATTTCTAATGTGCGACTTGTACCTCACAGTCCTCTTTTAAAACACTGTATTAGGGTAGAGATGAATTTGCAGGAAAGTTCAGAAACCTGCAGAGAATGTAAGTACATCTGAATGCTGAACAAAGTAATAAGATGTCACTGGAATTGATTCTCGTGTGCTGTGGCTAAAAATTAGAATTAAAATTGTATGGTCTGTCTTCAGTTTCCAGTAGCAAACTTGTCTTCTGCTGTGCAGATATAATTGAGATGCAGCTGGTAGGAGAAACTGACAGTGAAGAAGATACTGAGTTTATGGAAAACTGGTTAAGAAAATCTGGAGGTTTTTGAAGGATGGCATTTCATTAAAATTAAATTAAATAATGTAGCTGGAGAGAAGGGGGAGCATTCACTGTCTTGTAGTCGAAATAAAGACAAGTCATGTTGTGGGTACTGATGAGCAGGACTTCGGGAGCTGCACTGGAACTGTGCAGGTCTGTCTGCAGTCACCTGCTGCCCTGAGCCTCCACACAGGGCTTGCCTGGTGTCACAGCTGTCTTTTGCCTTTACTTGGGTCAGCCAAATCCATTACCTGCTCCTCAGGTGAGGATGTTCTACCAATGAAAAACATTTCTTTAAAAAATAATTTCAAAATATTAATAATTTTCTTTAATTAAGCTGTAACGTTGTGCTGACAAATCTTAAGGTTGTTTATTCAATCTTAATTCAGCATCTACTGTAAGTATTCTTTTTTGAAAACGCCAGTTGCCTCATTCACTCTGTTATGAATGCACTCAAGAGAGTGATATGGTTCAATCAGAGAAAAGTTTTTATTAATTACAGCAAGCAAGCAATAAACAAGATGGACTTGCTGTCTCACGACAGTGAGAGAGAAGGCTGCTGTCAGATGTCAGTCGAACTTTACACTGAGTGATAAAGGTGAGATGGAAGATAAAGGATGGTTTCATGCTTGAAATGAGTTAATGCTCTGGAAAAAATTGGATTCTGCTCCTGCCTGTACTGTGAAGTTCCAATTTGTAAGTAATAGTGTCTTTTTTCCTCTTGGGTTCTACAGGCTTATTCTAGCAGCTAATAGGGATGAATTTTACCACAGACCATCCAAATCAGCCGAGTTTTGGGACAGCAGCAATGAGATCCTTAGTGGTATGTATGTCTTGCTGTTTTGAGTGATTTTTATATCATATATAAGGGAATCATGGTCTGGATTTTTTTATTATTAGGGTGGTGGTGTTCCCTTTCTAATAAGAAATTTCATTCTCCCTTATACCTCTAAGGAAAACCTGTTGTAAGTTTGAAACATTTCTTAATTTCAATGTATTAACCTCACTCTTACTTATTCCCTTAGGTCTGGATATGGAGGAGGGAAAAGAAGGAGGGACATGGCTGGGAATCAGTAAGAAAGGCAAGATGGCAGCCCTGACAAACTATATGCAGCCAAAGATTGATAAAAATGCAAAAGGAAGAGGTATGGAGGAGTTGAAATAAAAAACAAAAAAGGAAGTGTACAAATAACCCTGATGTTCCAGTAAAATAGTGATTATTACAATATTAATTTTCTTAAAACAGCTTCATGGACAAACAGAATGTTTATGTGCTGTAAAGAACATATTTGAACTGATGAGTTTGAGTACATATGTGAGGAACCTGACTTGGATAGTGATTTTTTGATCAAGCAGGCACTAGTAAAACAAGATGTAGTGCCTAGAGACTGAAGTCACATTCATACAAGAAATGTAGCAGTACCATCTCCTCTGGAAAGTAATTAAGAGGCAGAAAAACTAGCCAAGCATTGAACTAGTTTTAGATTACAGTAGACTTTTTAAAATGTATATTCATATTCAATCACCTGTGTCAGGGAATGTAACTTGGATTATGCTGGAGGTAGCCTAAAAGATTCTTCTTCCCCATTGATAAATCAGAGGAGCAGAAACAATAGGAAAAACCATTTTTCAAAGAGGATGCTCAAAACATCTGTGGGGTTTTTTAAAGTAAAAATAGGTCTGTTTGTAACTGTCATATGATACTGGATTGGGAATACGTTGCAATGACGAAACATATTATACAGAGAAACAAATGAACTATGTCATTTGTATTTCATTTTTGGGTCATATATCAGAGAAGTGAAGCAAGACAAGAAAGAATTTCTTTTTAAGGTAGGAGGAGAGGAAAGGTGCATCCACAGTCCAGAGCAGTTAGTAATGTGAATTCTTAGAATTTTTGACCAAGATCTTTAGACTGAGTTCTTCAGAGTAAAAGTCAAGCTTTTAATGTGAACATGGTATAGTGATATAAGACTTTTAAAGGTTGGTTCATTATTTGGGTTGATTTTGTGGTTTGGGGTTTTCTTGCACTGTTACAGCCTGTTTGCAACAGGAATATTTATCTTTTTGTTTATTTTACCAGGCCTGTCAGAATAGTGAGCACACACATACAAGTTGCTCTATGTACTTCTCTTTCTTAGGTGCTCTTGTAACAAACTTCTTGACTGCAGATCTCGACAGCTACTCTTACTTGAAGAAAGTTTCAGTAGAGGGACATCTTTACAATGGATTTAATTTATTAGCAGCTGACTTGAAGTAAGTCTACAAAACATCACAGTTCAAATGTCAGAAGGAGAAGGATAATAACAGTGCTGTACATACAAGTCATATCACCACAGTGTAACAATACAAAAGCCTGTCACAAACTAAACTTAGAGCTCATGTTTTTTGCTAATTGGCGTGCAAGGTCATAATTTTTTTGTAGTCTTCCTTTCCTTTGTTATTTTTTTAACTTTGAGACACTGGAGGGCTATCTTGTATTCTAAACATTGCTTCCCACAAAACTTCTTGCAACTGATAGGCTGTAGCCAGTCTTTACCCTGGAGGCTCTGGGGCTTGTATTTTGAGAAAACAAAACCTTGGCTCATAATTTCTCAGACACCTTTTTTTCTCTGAGAGTTGACATGCTGCAGCAGGATTAGAACAGCTGAAAGCTTTCAAGCTATTATTTCTGTCAGAGTGTCTGTGTCATTTATCTTTCTTGAAACATTAAAAATTGGCACAAGACAAACATTAAGTTAAAATTTCTGTAGCCGAGAAAGGACATTGGATACTTTATTATAAACAGTGTAGTTGGCACAATCCTTTCTACTGCTTGTGCATGAGTCTATGCACAAGTACATCTATTGCTTTTCTTTTGCATTCTGCCTGACGGAGAAGAATGGAAATCCAGGGCTAAGGCATCTCCAGGCCATGTGTCAATTCCCAGTTGGATGCACACTGCATGACCGGGAGCACCTCTAAACTGCCAGGAGCACACTGCTGCTTTGGCACACTTGCTGCAGAAGCATTAATCTTAATAGACAACCTGATGGTGCAGGGCCTTCTCCCACTCAGTTTTTCTATATGCTTCTGGGAATACACTTAAAGCAGAAGACCACAGTCTTTACTGTTTTAATTGGAAATAATTTCTAGCACTTTCTCACTAACTGGCATTGTGTTTACATTTTTACTTTCTGTATTGGATCAGCTTCAATTCATGGCTCAGACTTACCAGTCAGTTCTGTGAAGATACCATGAGTGTAATTCTGCTTGGTGTGACTGCTTAGAAATAAACATACAGGTTATGTTTCCAGAAATTCAACCCAAAAATGGCCAGGCAATTGGAGGGTTTGATGCTTTTTGGTCTTTTTTACTTTCTGCTTAATGAAGTTCATTGTCTCACCAGAGACTTCACAAAATTTTTCAGTTGCCTAATTCATTTTTATCATGGTCAAAGGATTTGACTTTTTGAGCTTTCTGCTGTGTGTGCTAGGTTGCATAAATTGGAAGGCTATATTTAACTGAAAAGGTAGCAGAAGAAATAGACATTTTCAAGCAAACATCATATTTGAGGTGTGACCTAGCAAGCAATAAGTTTCAGATTCTTCATTTTAATGTAGGTAAATAGAATAGTCATAATGGCTGCTAGTATGATGATATTAAAGTATGTTTGACTGATGTTATTTAAGGCAATCATTCCTGTGTTGGCTTTGTTTGTTTTTTCCTGCATAGAGAGTTGTATGCTCAATTGAATAGTCTTTTCATGGTGATACAGGTCATAATTCCTTGTTGAGTGTCACTCTGAAAGGTGTGTGTGTTGATTAACTTCTCCATTTTGACATGTCCTTAGCCTTGGATACTCTGATGAAATTAAATTCTTGGCAAGCTAATGATGCAGAGCAATTTCAATAAGGTTTGTAAACTTGCCATTTTAGGAAATTAGAATTACTCCAAAGAGAAACGTGGTATATATCAATGGGAGCTACTTCTCTGTCAAAATATAAAATGTTATTGTAGTTGATGATAATTTTTGGGCCATGTTACAGTTCAAAACAAAGATTGAGGACTATTCTTAACATATTTTTCCATTGTGTAGCAAATAGTGATTGGCTTTGTTAGAGTGTGTGAAATGGAGGGGAAACTTGAAAGTGTAAGGGGTGTACCTGAACACATGATCCTGCTGAGTGTAAGCAGCATGTTCAGAGAGATTTACAATGTTTGAATCTTCAGGTAAACATTTCAGAAAAAGAGATTTTATCTTCTCTCTATATGATTATGATGACAGTATGCTAGATGACAGGTGCAGTAATACAAGTAGGGGAGCTGGAAACAACTATACAGGTTGTAAAATCTCATTGTTTATTTCCACAGCTTGGTGTGACTCCTATTTTTAACATTCATGAGTTTTGACACTTTTAGCGTAATAATCTATTGGCTCTGTGGCATCTCTTTATGTCAGTTTAAACACTACTGGTTTCTTGTTTTAAGAAAATTGCTTAGTACTTTTATTTTTCTGATTTTTCAGTTTATCTTCTTGGGTGTACCTCCTGAGTATGAGAGTCATGAATATTTATTCAGTTATGCTAAACATACTTTTATGTTCAATTATAGCATGTGACAAACAGTGTCTGTTTGGACTCTTGTGCAGCTGCAAAATTGGCTTCCAGGAAGGCAGTGTTGCCACTCCCCTCATTTTGGCTGTCTGTAGGTATGATTAAAAAGGAACAAGGTTATCAGAGGCTGGACTGGTCTCTAAGTAAATATCTGTTTGATAGTCAAAGGGGTTTTCCTTCTTTCTCCATTTGTGATAATACCTGAAGGCAGTGAGCTGCTTCTGCTGATGATTAGGACATCATTTCTGTCCAGGGGAAACCTGTGTTTATGTCCAGCAAATCTGCTGCTACACCTGCTTAGGCTTTCATGGGTATCTCAAACTTGTGTCAGGGCTGCTGTGGCAGCACCTCCCTTGTGTTCCTTACTGCCAAGTGTGTAATACAGACTGTCCTGAAGGACAAATTGGCAGCTTCTTGTCACCCACCCAGCAAGTGTAGAGTCTCTGACAGGCTGTCAGTTAGATCCCATATAGTTTATGTGCAGTAAGATCCCTGTGTAACAGGAGTGAATCACTTCCTCCATGATGAATAGACAAATTGAAGCAAAGTCCTTACAAACAAGTCAGCTGAAGGGGATTGCAGAAAAATGCCTTTTGGGTGAGATTTTCTGCTTTCACATGTCACAGCCAGTTTTCAATCCCTGCAGGGAAAATGTAGTAAACTATACCATCACCTGCAGGCTCTTGCTTAGCATGGTTACCATGACCTGGCTGGGTTGGAAGGATTTGCTCTCCAGAGATTGGATTTTCAAAGTGAGATAGGGTCAGAGTGCTGATATGAAAAGAACCTGGATGGTCAAGTCTCTGGGACTGCTCTGTAAGCTCATTTCCTTTTCTTCTCAGGTACTGTCCTAATTCAGTATCGCCTTTTGCAGAGTACACTCTTGCTTCTTGTGACTCCCTTATGAAAATGAGGTATTTCTGCATAGATCTTTAGTAATTTCTAGTGGATGTATGGTCAGTCCAATGTTAAAAGAAAAAAAAATGCTTCTGAAAAACTTTCTTATTTTATTTCTTTCCTCTGGTATCAGCTTCTGCCTGGCTCAAAATATTAGGACAGCACCAACGAGATGTTTAGACACTGACAACAAAAGCAGAGTAGTGTTTTAAGGCAGACATTGTATGCTGTGAGTATCTGGCAGAATTCTTTTCACCATTTTATTTGACAGTAGGTGGTACATGTTTGGGCTTTATAGTTGGTGGTTTGGTGTTTGCTTGTTTATTTTTAGCTTCAGAACAGTTACCTAATTAGCTCATGAACATTGAAGAAAAGAAAATGTATCTGTGAACCATACTACTTATTGAAAACTACAGTACAGCATTTCAGTGTTGCTGCCAGTTTCATCTTTTGTCCTTGCACAAAAAATACATGCACTGATTATTCATAAAACAATCCAATGTCCTTGTCTGTAGCAGAGTAGCACTCAGTGCCCAGGGGAGTGATCACTTGGTGATAACCACACTCTGTGCAGTTTTACTGCCTCACTACTTTTTTCCTTTTTCTTTCATTCTGAATTTTTGTTGGACATGACTTAGAGCCACCTTGAAGTTGAAGCAGGGCAGGAGGGCAGAAGGACGTTGCATATGTTTCATCAGCATTAAGAAATTATTGTGGTAAACTCTGTATGGCTTTCATGTTGCTTTGAAGCTTCTATTACTACTGAGATTTGTGCTGCCTAGAATATTTCCTAGAACATTTATTATTGCTTACATTTTTTGACAGAATGATGTATCTAAGAGCATAATTTTAGTTTCTTTCTGCTGTCAGCTATGGCTGGGTCTACTGGGCCTTATTGTCATCACTTTAATTACGCCTTTATTTCTTCTGCAGTGAAGTTGGTATCTATACTTGTAAGGGTGGGAGGGAAGAGAATCTTGAGTGTGGGCCAGGGTTTTGAGCCTATTGCTGTGATCAAGCTTCCAGTGATTTTTTTTCATCTTGGCTTCTGCTTTGATGATGAGTACTGAGTACCTGTAAACAGTAGGAAGGGACTAGGCAGAGCCAAATGATAAAACAAAGAGTAGCTGACTGGCACAGTGAACTAAATTTTGAAAGCATCCCCATTTCAGAAGTCTCTTGGGAGGCTTTAGTCTTCCTTTGACAGAAGGCAGCGGCAGTGTTGCAGTGGAGGTAAGCAAAAATACTCATCTGGGGGAGTGTGCATGCCATAAAATACAGATGTCCTGAATTAGTGACCCTGCAGTTTGTATGTATTCCCTGTCTTCTTGGTAAACTGCAGGGGATCTTGTTACTGAATTTGTCAGTGACAGAAATCTTGGAAGAGATGCTAGAGGATTGTATTCTTTCATGTAAAAAGCCATTCTAAGGAAGTCAGCAGTGCCAGCTTACTATGTAGTCTTATCTATGACAGGCCTTGTCTTACAGCTGTGTTCCAGGGCATTCTTGGGCCTTTGTCCACCTTTCCATCTAACACTGTCTTGTGAGATGCCAGGTTATAACAATTGCTCTGATCTTTTCTCTTTACAGACCTTCTATAGCAGATATTTGAAAAGAGAGTAGTTAATGCATCAATACAGTGGTGTGTGTGATTTCTGGTGTCGTAACTAAAAACACCTAAGGTGGGGTTTTGTCTGTGGAGAGTTCAGGTGGTCAGTAAGTCTTGACATCAGCATAAATAAATTTGAACAAGGATCTTAAGGATGAGAAGAAAAGGCTAAGGAAAATAAGTCTCTTAAGCCACTAGAGGAAAGTTCAGAAAAATTACACGTTTAACAGTCGATAAATTGCGAATTGAGTAAGTGAGGTCTTCTTATGTGATATTTAACAATAAAAATAGAGCATACAATATGCCTGCTATAATTGCTGTCTTCTGCCTGTGCTGAAAAACTTGATCATCTTTCTGTGTGGTATCAGAAAACTCTTATGTGTTGGTTTGGGAGGAGGAAGAGTAGTGCACAGAGAAAAGCAGTTCTATTTTTGCTTTATGTGGGCTTTTTTTGTATTCCTCTTCTTGAATCTTCTGACTTCTATAATTAATTAATATTTCCTTCTTCATTTGGCTGTCTTGTAAAGGACACTGTAGAATGTCTTTCATAATGGCTTTTCAAGAAGAATATAAACAGCTAAATCAAGACTGTTTTGCTTGTTATTAAGGTTTGAGTAGCGGATGCTAAGTTATGCAGAGCAATTTAAGTTCCAGTACATCATTAATGAGATTGCATTCTATATACACTGATTTGCATCAGTGCAGAGATACTCCTTTTTATCTTAGGAAAAAAATGAGGAGATGGAAATGGCTTATCTCCTGTATTATGTTTTATGCTGTTTTATCCAGATTCAATCTTAATTGCAAGTTTTGTGTTTGGTTTTTTATTTGTTTTGGTGGTGTTGTTTTTTGGGTTTTTTTTCAATTTAGAAAGTCTATCTGCTCTCTGAGGAGCTGGAGCTTGGGAGACAAAAACTGAGCTATGGTCAAAATGTGTTGGTATCCATGAGCAAGTAAATCACTAGGGGGAAATACAGAATTAGATCTCATTATGGTATTCTGGCAAATTAAAAAAAAAAAAACAAAAACACAAAAAACAAACCCCACCAACTGGAAGTGATCTGAGGAATCACTATTCCATGTCAGCTGATTGAGGGATGTTGAGAGTGAGCCATCTAATGGCAATCCATTTCCCGTAGGACACACAAGGCTTATTGATGACTTTCTATTTTTTTTTCCCCCTTATCAGTTGGTTTGGTGTTTGTGTTGTCAGTATCAGTGTGACTATTTAAATCCCTGCTGTTTTGATATGCTGATACCATCTCTGTCAAATAAGAGTTGTTTGCAATGTTGGAAGCTGTTCCTGAACCTCGTGCAAGACCCTCCCTGTACTCTGCGCAAGAGAGAGGAAGTGCTGCAGCCAATGCCTAGAATTAGAGAGAGATTCAATGACTACAGTGATCTGAAAACAGCCAAGAAATGCACAAAGGACCCAACTATGCCCTGCAGCATTGCTGGAAGTGGGCCTAAAATGCACTTCTGCCATCTAAAGTGGCCCACAGCAGTCAGTGGCTTAGAATGCAGGAAGGATTCAAAAGAGGTACTGGGGAAAAGGGTATTTGCTATGATGGAGAGTTCCTTTGTTTTCACATGCCCCCCTTCTCCCAAGCAACTAAATCTCCAGTTAATCAAAACCAGGTTTTTGTCATTAAGCCTGACTAGTTCCATGCAGAAGTTATGGGGTTTTACTGAATTTTATTGCTATTATGTTTAAAAATAGTAATGGTACTTCTTGATAGTGATAGAGCTAATACAGTGTTTTGAGAGGAGGAAAGTAGTAAAACTCATCAATGTCTGGTATCAGAGGAGTAACAGTGGGAGAAGCATCTTACTGTGCTCAAAGATTGCATGAAATTAAAGCATAATCAAATATAGAAGCTGATGGCTTTTCAAGGAGAAATTTGTATTTATATTTTTTAGTACCACCAAAGGAGATGTAATTTGCTACTATGGAAACAAAGGAGATCCAGAACCTGTTTTCCTAAATGCTGGTGGGTTTTCTTCAGAAAGGTTTGAATATTACTTTTTCTTATGTAGCAGCGTATTGTTCTAGTAATCTAGCTACTTAAGCATTGTCTTTGCTGACTGAATTTTTCTTTGCATTCTTTAAAAGAATATATTATTAAACGCCCTTGAATTGGTTTAAGTTTTTGTTAATAATTTTCAATAAACAATCAATAGTTCATAAAAGTTTCTGTCCATGTTAGTGTACCCACCTGCAGTGCAGTTAGTGGATTAATGCTCAGGTACCTATGGCAGGACAGAAGTCTGTCTTGAGAAATGGGATCTGACCCTAGCTCCCTAATGTGTAGTGATAACTGAAATCGCCAGAATGCACTTTCCAATTAAATTGGGCTTTTTTGTGTGTGTATGTGTGTAGGAATATATGGATTGAGTAATTCTTTGTTGGATACACCATGGAAGAAACTTCAATATGGGAAGCAGCTTTTCACAGAAGTGGTCAAAAGAAGTCAAGACCTTACCAAAGAAGATCTAGTGAAGGAGCTTCTTACTGTGATGAATAATCAAGAACCGTAAGAACATGACAGCTGGAATTTACTCAAATACAATATGACCCATTTAAAAAAATGCATATAGAAACTGTTTGGGAAGAAAAAAGCACTCTACCTTGATATTAATTGAAAGTAGTATTCTCACAGAGCATGACTTTCAACAGTATTGATTTTTAAGCAGGAGACACATTCAAGGCTACTGCAGTCTTGGACCTCATCAGCTGTGCACTGTGCCCTTTTTTTTAAAGATTGCACTTCTCTTAGTAAGGGCAATGAGTGCCTGACTAGGGATGTGCAAGCTGCTTGCTGTCAGCTATTTGGAGGCTCAGGTAGGTTTGGTTACTGCACTTAGAGAAAGCATTTATTTACTATTTGGATAAGAAGGAACCTTAAAGATGTTCTGGTGCCAACCTCTGTTGTGGACAGGGACACTGTCCACTTGCTCAGGGACACATCTAGCCTGGCCTTGAACACTTCCAGTGATGGCGCACCCATAGGTTCTCTGGGTAACCTGTGCCAGGGCCTCAACACCCTCACAGGGTGAGCAGGTTTGTGTTAGTAGCTTATGCTGTTCTGTATTGCTGCTCAGAGAGTAGACAGAGCATGGAGGAGCAAAACTTCAAAGTACAACCAGCTGCTTTCCTTAAAAGTGCAGTTGTTTCAAGCTAAGTGGGGGAAGGAAATAAGGAAGCGTTTGCACAATTCAGCTGTAGGAATTCAGTCAAGGAAGTTCCAGTCAAAGAAATCCCCAAGAGATGAGTCTGAGATTAAGGAAGGTTCCTGCACTCAGAACTCAGCGCACAGTGAACCTGAGCCCATCAGCTGGATGTTCAGAAGAAAATTAAGTTGACACCACTTCAGTGTGGAGATGTGGAGTAGGGTACAGGAGATGCTGTGGTCTAAATTAATTTCATTGCTCGCCATCTGGTAACTTTTATGTTTACCTTGACTTTTATCTGTCTGGGAATTGATTAGAGTTGAAGCAAAGCTGTTTCTGGTATATAGATCCAGTTATCCAAACTTAACAACAAATTTTAATGCCAGCATTCATGAATGTGGCATTTTTCAGTGGTTCAAAATAAAGTTTTATATAAGAACTCAGACATCTGAGCAATGAGCAGTAATTGAGGAGTCTGCTAAGCTGTCTTAATAGGTTTTTTCATCTGCTATCACATCAATTGATTTTCTAAAAAATTGTTAGACTTTATACTTTTTACTAGTAAAAATGAAAAGGTATAAGATACAATATAGTCAAATGATCTTCCCTTAATGTTCAGTAATTCCATTTGATCTCATCTGAAACCATCTGACTATAAAAGGGAAATATTTACTTACAAAAAGCAATATTTAAAACTAAGCCTCTAATCTTTCCAAATCACACTTCAAGATGAAATGATCTTTTCATAATAAATATGAACATGTGGATATGCACTAGCTTTGAACTTTCTTAAAATATCCTGTTTCATATTACTTTGTGATCTCTTTGTGTGTGCATATTACAGGAATTTAGTGGGTACAGCAGTTGGCTTAATCATAGAATTCCATTCCTTCCTGATGGGTTTTTGTCCATTACGCCCTCTCTTCTGTTTCACCCCTGCCTTTGACTGTGATCTCAGGGATGTCCTGGAACTTATTCCAGTTCAAGAGGGATGAGTGTGTTAATGGAGATTTATTTTTTTTAACTACTTTCCTACTCTTTTCAGTCAATTACCAGACCCTGCAATTGAAGACCAAGGGAAGGACTATATCCGTCCTATGTTGAACAAGTACGCAGCTTTATGTGTTCGTTGCCCGGGTTATGGAACAAGGTAAAAAAATTCACAGCCAGAAATAGATGTATACTGGATCAAAGCATATCACAAATCAAAATTGTGCTATTGTGAGTTTAAATTCTATAGTGACTGCTTTAATTTTTTTTCAGATATTAATCAGGTATAATTCAGTAATGCATTTCCTTCATCAGTATTTGAGTGTCTGGGATTTGCTACTGAAGAGCATTTGAAGCTGACACTGTGGTTCATCTTTGATGGAGAGCGCAACTTTAACTTGTCCCAGACAAGATAATACAGTTCTCCTGCTTCCCCAGTGTAGTAGCAGGTCTGAGCACCTCTAACTTTCATCTTACCTGAGATACTGCAGAACACATTTCTCCTCCATGAGCAGGAATTGTGTCATGTACATTGCTAAATCAGAGTTTTCCTTAGACATTGCATCGTAAAACAGATCTGCCATTTTCATACATTAAAACCTATTGCTCTTGTTCAGAAGAACCTGTATTTCCACTTCTTCCCTAACTGATGCTGCTGTTTTTACTGAGATATTCTCACTCTCTGCTCTGACTGTTCCACCAAAGCTGCAAGAAGAATAGAATAATGCAATACTAATCTTCATTTAATCTTCAGTAGGACAAAATGGTTGATCCCTGTTGCTGCCGGTAGGGAATTGCTTCTCTAAAAGTCAGCCAATAATTTTGTAAGATTGGTCTGTGGCATGGTCTGCCATAGTATTTCCTCTATGAGATGGGAGTTGATAAGCAGAGAGTGCTCACTGCTGTAGGCATTTTAAGATGGTATTCTGAAAGAGATACTCAGTGTTTACAGTGGTTTTCTAAAATGAACTAAAAGAACATTTTAAATATAGGATAATAAAGATTTATTTACCATGATAACAAAGCACCTTCCTCCCCTAGTTTCACAAACTGGAGTCCAGCCATTTCAAAGGAAATGGGGATAACTTGGTAGAAACACTGACTTTCTACTGGTGAATTAGTACACATTTCAAGTCTCCCTCCTGCTGTGATTGTATGCTCACACTTACCTTTCCCTTAGCAGCAGGGCTTGGTGAATAGAGGTTGTTAACTGGGCCTCACATATTCTTCTGAGGAAATTACATGCTTTTTTTAGAAGAGTGAACAACTGTGAATTGACTTGGGAAAGGCCACCAGATCAGAATGGTAGAAAATCCCTACTGTCAGTCATCCCTCTGTGGAAGGGTACTGCAGTGTCCACAGAGAAATGACAGTTTACCAAGGCAAAGTGGAATAGATGCACAACTGGCACCTGCTTTTCATGAAAACAAATTTCCTCTTTGGAAGGTTTCTAGAGAGAAAAACTTTTTTCTGTGATCATGTATGAGTGTCCTGTGATGATAATAACTGTTTAAATCTTAATGGACAATTGATTTGAAAGAGGAATGAAGAGAGTACTGTTGATATGAGTAATCCTTATGGGTACATATAGGCTGTGAAGAAAAAACAAGTTTTATGTTACTTCTTTCTGAATGGAGCACTTTGCATTAAGTTTAAGCTTTTACCATACTCTGCAATGAGCAGATTTGTGTGTCAGCTGCTGCAAGTGCAGCAGGGAGTCAGTGCAGTGGAGTGACAGAAGAATGGACTGAAAATGTCCGTTTGAACTTGCCAGGATGATTTCTGCCCTGCTCATGTGATGATGATGTGCTCAGGAAAAAAAAAAAAAATAAAAAGGTTATGTGGTAAAATAATGTGTTAAAACATATGGGAATGAGGGATGGCAGCTTAGAAGTTTTTATAATGGAGACCAGGTGTAACCTTGTGCCATTGCACTGTTGCAGGACGAACACGGTCGTGCTCATCGATTCTGAGGGACACGTTACTTTCACCGAGCGCAACATGATCAATGCTGATGTCAACCAGTGGAAAACAAGCACCTATGAATTCAAACTGCACAGTTAACAACTTTCCACATGAATGGTTTGTAATAATAGCAATGACAGAACAAGCCATTAAGCTCTAGTAAATGTTTTGTGCCAGCCTCCACAAGCTAAAAATAGCAAGGAAAGCAAAAGTTTAAATAAACTGGTAGCATACCCTATCAAGCTCACAAATGCTTTGGAGAAAACCAGATGAAGATGCTGTTTTTACATGAAGTAGCAACTTATAATGAGAAATATTTTGTTTAATACCACCCCGCTTTCAGGGCAAGGCCATCTTTGTCCAAGACAAAGTCATTACTTTTTTGTGGGTGTGGATTTTTTTAAATATGTTATAAGTAGACTTAAACTTGTTTTTAGTTATAATGGTGGGGAAATATTTGCAGCTTTTATTGTTCTAAGTGAAGGTTTTAGCAAACTTTGCTTTACCTTCAACATATGCTGTTAAGATTGTACAGCTGATGCCAGTGTGCATTAAATGAATGTATGTTATCCTGGTAGTATTAAGTGCTTTAGTCTCATTTAAGCTTTTCAGTGCCATGGTGCAATGTTCTGCCTGGGGAGGGCAGAGAGCGGGGATTCTTTACATTTGTTTTTCTATAGATAGTACAGCAATAGATCTTATTTCTTTTTTATCTGAGAATCAAGGTAGAGCATTTAGTTCAGTCTCTGTTCACTTTTACTGAAAGAACCATGGGAGCAGACTTGTTATCTTTGACCTGAATAAAACTATTTGTGCTGTAACATCCTGTTTCCTGATAGTCTAATGAGCAATATTGTTTTTGTTATTTTCTTCCCTGGCAAGCAGGTAAGGAATAGGTACCCATTTGCAAACAGAAGCTGAAGATGAGGTTTTCATGTATTGACTGTTCTGTGCATACAAAATTTTGGTTTAATTTCTTTGTTGGTATAATGTGTTACAGCCTGGAGTGACTGCTCATAGATTTTTAGTAAAAATAGCTTGTGTGTTGTGAGGTGACACTGTTGTAGTCTTATATTGTTGAAAAAGTTGGATATTAAGAGGTACTTCCTATGTTCTAACACCTGTGAATTAAAAAGCTAATTAAATGCATGCTTTTTTCAATTATTCAGCACCAGTGTAGGTAGTAGAAGATTCTAGCTAATACCAGGATATTTTAAAACCCTAAGCTATTTTTGTTTCTATTGGTGTTCTGTTTTGACTTACTTTGAATACTGAATATTAGTTTAGTAGTGGATCACCAATATTTTTTTTCCTTTAGGTATGTTTTACTGTATTTTCACAAGCCTCTGATTTTAATTAATTATTGAAATGTAGCCAAATTTTTGATACTCTTTGGAAGATGTGCGGCTGTGTTTCTGTACTCAAGCTGGTGTGTTTGGGCATTCCTCTGTGTGTGTGTGTGTCTCTATACTGGAGGCAGTAAATGAGACTCCATTGAGGTGAAGTACTGTGAAAAGCCATTCCCAGATTTGTAATTGTCAGGAGATACTAAAGCTGTATTTATTCAAATCTCTTCTTTATATTTGCATATTTAAATAGCTTCTAGATACCAGGACTGCTTACATGACTAGACACAGGTTGTGGATTCAGTTCTGTATAAATGACTTTTTGACCACCTTGATGTCAAGACAATCAACAATCGTGTTGGGTTGTACATGGTTTAGAACTCAAAGCCTTCCAGACTGTCCTGAGCTGCAGGAAATGGTCAGCCATTTTAATTTTTTAATGACTTCTTAAACCCTATATTTGTATGGATAAAAATGTTAACTGTTATTTTTAGATGCAAAAAAGTAACTAAAGCTGTCTTAAATTTGAGTTTGACGCATTCGCACCTAGAAACAAAGCCCTGCCTCAATAGCTTGCTCTGAGAGTTTGCATAGCAAACTATTTTATATCCACTTACAAATAGTGGATATTTAAACATGACATTCTCTTTGAAGACATTATTGTAAAGGCATGCAAAATACTTGCATGCAGTATCATACTAAAAGCATTTATAAATTTTGGTTTTTATAGCAGTCATGTAATAATGAACATTTATTCATAGTTTTTACATATAGGCAAAGAAATGTGAGAGCTTAGATGTAAATATGGATTATAATCATGTATTTTGGTATGCTTGAATCAAAAGTCTAAATCTGGGATTTGCTTTTTCTGACAATTAAACAGGAAAGGGCCCAAACCTTGGATGTTGTTTTTTGTCGCATCAGAATAGCTAATAAAGAGGTTTTTAACTTCTTTGGAAGCTTGTGAGAGTTTTGTCATTGGCTTCAGTGGAAACAGGACTGGAAACAGACTGCTGTGCAGCTAACTGCAAGTGGTGCTTGCCCACAGAAGTGATAAGGTATTTGTGGAGTGCATGATCTACTGTGTGCAAATTAGAGTTGCAATGAATCCACTGGAAATGTGAGACTGTACCTACAGTTAAGAAAGAAAGTGTTTTATTTTTATAAAAGTATTTTTAATAATAAAAGGGAATTTTAAATACCAGTTTTAAAGGATATAAAGGAAAAAAGTGTATATAGGAAACTATTGCATCGTATTTTACTAAGTTTGCTTATACATATCATCTCTTCAAAGTCATACATTTGCAAGAGATTTTTTTCCTGATTTTTTTTCTATTGGAATGGTAGTGGAAGAAATTCTAAAATGTGTAAAACCTCAGTTATGTTTTATTGCTTAAAATTGTGTCATAGTTGTTGTTTACATATGTGTTCAAAACTAGAATCAGAATAAAGTCAAGCTGGTGACCAGTCTTTGTTGACATTAGTAGATTGTGCATTTTTGCACGTATGTTATTGTTCATTTGCCTGTTACTCGGTGTGATACAATGAAGTAAAATCTTTAATGCCATATTAACAATGAAGGAGCTGTGATTTAAGTTCCATTTCTGGTACTTAATTCCATTTTAAGAATGCTGTATTTTGGGGTGGGGTTGGGGGTTGTGTTGTGGGTCTTTCCTAACTCTGTGCTATTGTATGGTTGTCTTATACAGGTAAGAAATTGGAAAATATTTGAAAGGTAGGAAAGAGCAAAATCAATGCTTCCTTGGGGAAAAGTGGAGCCTCACAAAATGCTACTGGAGGATGGGAATCCAGGTTCACTGTGGAAAAAGTCTGGATCCATGGCAGACCCGAGACTCTCCCGTTACACTGAGTAGAGCCTGCATTAATGTTCTGCAGTACTGGCCCCTGCAGTGAAGGTGGAATTGTCTCATCTCCCTTGTAGTAGCTTAATAAAACACACCTGAACAGAGCAGAGGAGAAGTTGGGCCCTTGCAGGTCATCGCTGTTTTCAAAGCTTAATTGATATTTGTTGTTACAAGTAAAATACACCAAACTAAATAATTAAGATAAAATATTGATAAGATTTGGAACACTGTTTTCGTAATATTGTAAAGAAATAAGTAATTTTGAAATGAAGCTATGAAATACTAAGCAGTAATTAGGCAATAATTAAAGTATCTTCCATTTCAATTTTATCCTGTAGAACTTAATGCACATTTTTGGCTTAGCAAGCATCCTTATTCATATGGAATATTAGCTGTTAGGAGTTAGTTTTATTTCATTCAGATTGATGTAACAGGACATGGATGATGTTCTTCATCTGATTCATCTTCTTCAGAGAAGTCTTGTTGATAGCTTCTGAGTTTCTTAGGAAATAGACTTGACTTGTTGAAAATAGAATCAGTACTGCAATCAGCTGGGGAGGCATGAACTGTGGGAATTAAAAAACCCATCAATATGACTCATGCTGGGAAATGTAGGTTAAGGTGAAGAGAGTGAAGGAATGTTGAATATATTTCATATGTATATGTATATATATAATCTCTGTAACATTGTGTATCATGAATTTAGAAGCTAAATGAAAAAAAACAAACCAGTATCATATTGACATGCTCAAATTTACCATGTCTTTTAGAACAGAAGACATAAGCACTGAACTAAGGCTCACAGATGAGGGAATCATAAATATTATAATGTTAATCAGGTTAACCAAAAATTGCAATGCATAAGTCATGCACCACATGAATGAGGAAAAAAGCAGTATCTCTGCTGATGCACATGAAATTTTTGTGCCTTAGTAGCAGAAAGATAAATGAAGAAAAATAAATGAAAGCTAAATGCAGATCAGAAGATGTAGAAAGGAGGGGGAAAACAGAGAACACACAATGATGATTATTTCTTTTTCTCTAATATTCCCCCTAGATAAATTGACTGTATTTAGGAATGCAGGATTTTCAGCCACAGGAATAGGTTTGTTCTATGTATGAAGAATAACTAAGGGAAGCCTCAGTCACTGCAGGATAGCACCAGCCCAGGTGCAACTTGCAATTGAACAGAATGTTCTTTGAATGGCTTGTGCAGTGCAGTTTCTGATATGAAGGCTACTTGGTTTTGGCTTTATTTTTTTCTTGTTTTAATTTGTAGATTTCCGTGTAAAGCTGCTACTTTTTATTTTTCCTCTTAGGCACTATATCCCACTTTAAGCAATATTGTCTTTAGAAAAAAGTCTGCATCCCTGGGAAAATTCTGCCTGCACTCTGAAACTTGGGAGAACCATTTGGCTGAAGTGTTTCCAACAGGAAAATCAGAAGTCATATGTGATTCTGTAGACAACACAATTTAGTTTATGTTGAATCTATGAATGGCAAGAGCAAGATTAGTAATTCTGTGGTATCGTTGAGCCAAAGGATGTGTCTACTTTGATTATTTTTTGCAGCAATCAACCACCTCTTTTGACATTTGAGAACTGGTCTGAGATTGCTCATGGGATCCTTTTGACATCTTTCCATGGCTGTGAAGTGATGTCTGACAAAGATTAGATTGAGGAGAGCAGATTGCAGCAAAAAGTTAAAGATGAAGAAATGTAATGCAAGCAAATACCAGTTTACCAGTGCCCAAAAAACTGCAGTGCAGCTTATTTTACTGAAATAAAAGTAATGAAGGCTGAGAAAAACTTGTCTTGCAGCAGCTTTTGCTTGGAATAGCACAGTATGTGCTGCAGTTACTGACATAGGAAGAATATGAAAAAGCCACTGGCTCCACCTAATTTTCATTCTGATGAATGCAGCCTGTTAGCTTTATTGGGAAGCTCATAGTTTTGTCTTTATAGTCTTTATTGCTGTATTTTGTGTTGACAGCAGTAGTTTCTGTCCAGCCTTGGATACCTTGTATGTGAAAATCTCCTTATCATTAGGAGCATTATCAACATTTGTTGGTAATGACACTTCTTGATAATTATGGTTAATCCTGATTGCACCATGCAGGTGGACCTGGACACTTCTAATTCAAAAGTTTTGAGCATGTTTGACAAGTCTTCCATCAGAAGTCCACGTGTTGAAAATTTTCAGGTGAATTTTGCACCGTATTATATCAGATTTAATTCTCCAGGGGTCACATCATCCTTCTGGTTAAAAAATTTAAGCACAATTTGAGCACTGTTTTGATGAAAACATTGTTTTGTTAATGGATTATTATCCTTTTGTTTATTAACAGTTAGAAGCCTATTTCCCTGTTGTGTCAGTGTCTCAAAGAATCAACTGTTGCACCATTAGTTTAAGCCTGTACTACTAGTCTCTGAAAACAGATGTGCAATGGAAAGACTAAAACCGGTTATTTTTTCATTTTTTAAGCACTGCAGGCATTTTGATTCTCCCACTCTGCAAAAATCTATGTGTGCCTCATCTGATCCTAACTGAAGCACTGCTGTTCATGTACGTGTAAAAAATTTAACCTGTTTTCTGAAGTATGTGATCTTAGTGCCACAGTTCATTTATACAGTCACATAAATGGGATGCCACTGAGTCACAATACTTGTATTTTGATAGGCTCTTTGAGAGGGGCAATCTTCTGTCCCAGTGCTAGCAGTTTGAGGTGACCTGATGCAGCAAATGCCAACATCAGCTCAAGCTGTTTACTTAATTGTGAGATCTTTTTCCTCAGCTTTGACAATTGAAGTGTGACATGAGTGGCTGTTTTGCAAATTGAGGGTGTTTATTAAATGTACATTCTGAAGTTTTTTGTTTGAGCAGAAGCCTGTTATGGGGTATTAAAAATTAGAAGCTGCTTTTAGTGGAAACTGAGTTCAGTTTTTGAGGGCAGCTTGCAATGATTTAAAGCAACCTGCTCTTTACCAGTGACATTATGTCCAAATTATCACCCCTATAATTAGATGTGTTGGTCCAGCAAGACAAACACAAAGATGGAAACACCTAACAGTGGTCTTTTGAATAAGTTTTTAAAGTTTTATTAAAATATTAGTTCTTTCATAGCAGTGTTTGGGTACTCAGAGACATGAGATCAATGAAATACTAGAAAGATTCTCATGTCCTGAAGTTACATATGAAACAAACACATAATGTTGGTGACGAAACCAGGATGTATTTTATCACAGTATTTTGTGTCTCATGTTGATTTCAAACCGGCGAAGGACAAAAGAAGCAATCCCATATCAGTAAAAGCTCTATATCGCTGACAAAATATAAAATAATAGAGCAAATTAGGACAGTAAATGTTCATTAACACTTTAGAAGTAATTTTACATAAACTGTTCAAGATACGTCAATAATTATTTAGGAATGCTGTCTAAACGTTGCAGTCAGATTTGGGACTTGTTCTGTGAACTTCTTGTTACATAGATCAGGAGAAATAGCCCTACTTTGATTTATCCTTTTTAGGCAATTCAGTCGTGAAGCAGTAATGCTGTAGTTTTGTTACTTAAAGATACAAAACAGCGTTTGCAACGAAAAGCGGTTTTTTTTTGTAGCTGGTCCGTCCGGAGGGAAATGGCCCGAGCGGTGCGGGGCCACACAAAGAACCCGCCCGCCCCGCCATGGCCCGGGCCTGTGAGGGCGGGTGTCTCTCGCGTCTCTATTGGTGGAGCGGGGTAACAGGCAGGGGAATGAACCAATGGCAGCCGGGATTTCAAATCTGTCACCGCGGACGCTGCGAACGCCATTGGCTCGGCGCGCGCGGGGTCCCGCCCGCGGGAACCGGAGGGGCCCAGCGCAGGCGTTTAAAGATGGCGGCGGCGCGGAGTGCGGGACGGCGATCGTGAGGCGGCCGGACTCGCTCTCACCCGCAGCCCCGGCACAGGAGCGGCGGGGCCGCCGGGGATGGCCCAGGTGGGTGCGGGCCCCGCGGCGCGACGGACAGGGCGGGCCTGCGCGGGCAGCAGCCCCTCCGCCCCACAGGCCGCGGCGCTAGCGGGCCCGCCGCGCTCCTGCCGCCTGCCCGGAGCGGCCCCCGGGCGCGGAGCCCAGAGGAGCCTCTCCACGAGCCCCGACATCCCATCGCTGGAAGGCGCCGCCCTGCCCGGCGGGTATTGCCGTGCGGCGCTTCCACTGCGCCCGGCCTGAGCGGCCTCTTCTCAGAGCTGGTGTTGTGTTTTGTTTTGTTCAGGATTTTTCTTTGGTTGTTTTGTGTTTGGGGGGATTTTTTTTTTTTTTTGTTTCCCGCCCACCTTTAGCCACCTCCCTACTCGCCTCGCCGTGGGATCGTGTTCATGATTGTGGAGGGGAAGGAAGCGCCATGTCTGTATCCCCGGTCCCTCCTGGTCCGGGGGTGATGGGGAGTGTCGGCTCTGGCGGTTCCTCAGGTCCGTGTGTCTGGGCAGAGGGAGGGACGGGGGGTTCCGCCGGACGCAGCCCTTGGTACAGGGGACGGGAGCGTGTCTCGGCTCCAGAGCAAAGTTGGGAAGAAAAGGCACCAACGCGTGTGCGGGCGTGCAGGGACTTTTTTAGTTCTGGTACGTTGAAGATAATGTGATGTCTCTGTAACTCTCAGGAT